CTGAGGAATCGAACCCAGGGCCTCATGCATGCAAGGCAAGCACTCTACCACTGAGCCACCTTCCCAGTCCCTGCTTGGCTCACTCTTAAGCTCATGTTTTTGCTCAAATGTCATGTTCTAAGGCATGTCCCCTCAGACAAACTTGAAATTGCTACCCTTTCACTTTCTGCTACTTAAAAAAAATTATACTTACACTTTCTTCTCTATATCACTTATCCATTTCTGTTATAATTTGTATTTTACTTCCTTATTATAGGCATGATTTCACACACTGGGTTGTAAATTCCCCAGGACAGAGATAATGTCATATTACCAATATTTGTATGGGGATAGGGTGTGTGTGAGATCTTGTCTTTGTCCTATCTGTTCAAATTTTCTCCCTTCAGCATGAGAGGATCTTGAAGTCACTTTGCTGGTTGTGTGTGGCTGCTGGAGAGGAATGGAAACAGATGGCTAGTAATATGGCTAGAAGAGTTCTTGCACCTAATGGATACCCAGTGTAATTTGGAGCTATACACAGGAAAAGACTTAATTATTTTGTGAAAAGGGGTGCCTGGAAAGCTTAGGAAATCCACTAACAATTCTGCTCAAGTGGGTGGAATCCTCACCAACAGGTGGGATGTGTTTCACAATGCCTACAGATACAAGATTGAGGGTGCTAGTCCAAAATACTCTTTGTAAGACTGTAATGGTAGATAAGTCGCAGCATTTCTAAGGGTCCAAGCTGCTGGGGCCACAGTAGATGGCAATGTTCTACCTTCTTTTACACTCATTCGTAGCTAAGTCCCTTTAAAGGTGGGCAGCAGTATACATTTTAATGTGGATCATCAGTGGGCAGATTCTGGGTTTTTAACCAGTTCAGAGACAAAATCAAGCTTGTCTAAAATGCTCTTTTCAGAAGTGAGATCAATCAGGTACTGTTGCTTTTCTCATCAAATTTGCTTCTGTCACCAATTCGATTCTTGCTTGAATCTAAATGAAATGAACTCAGGGCAGACTTATTATTTCTACCTAAAAGGGGCATACAGCTTCTAGACAAGCATTGAACTTTTAAATAATGAATATTTTCCCCACCTATAATTGATAGGCACAAGAAAACACTTGCAAATGCAAACTTAAAATTCCAGCAGGAAACAGACTCACCCCTAGTATCTTTCCTTCTTCTCTCAAGTTTACTGCTGCTGGTTCTGTCGTTAAATTTACCATTTGAACATTTCCTTGAGCAAACTGACTACCACGAAAGAGTCCTGGAGATGTCATGAAGGGAAATTGCCCACCTTGGGCTTGGTTTCCTACATTAATAAAACTCAGAGATCGTTGATATTCAGCTGGTTGAGACCCAGGAGCCATGGTTGGGTTGCCTGGTGGGTAAGGATTGGGCATGGTCTCTTGCATTCCAGGGTAGGGTGTTGGCTTGGATGGCTTCATTCTGTCCTAAGGGTAAACAAAATATACAAAAGCAACTGCTGACAATGGAAGTCAAAGAGCATCTTATCAAGCATCATTTTTCCTTGTAAAGGGCACAAGTGAGCAAATAATCATGGTGACTAATACAAATGTGCTTCTCATTGGCCTTGGAATCCCATGTAACCTGTGGTTTAAAGGAACTGAAGGAGGAAAATGGGAATATATTTATATTTTAGCTCTTCCTACTTGATATTATTGCTATTATTATTATTGGGGAAATACTCATGTTTGAACACAGGTGGTTATAATTGCTAGGCAGATGCTCTGCCACTTGAGGTATACCCCAACTCCTTTTGCTTCAGTTTATTTCTCAGAGTGTTGTACTTTCTTTTCATCTGACCTTGAGTTATAATTATCTTATCTCTGCCTTCTAAGCAGAGGGGACCACAGCTAAGTACTATCCCACTCAGTTTATTTATTGAGATAGTCTCTTTCTAACTTTAGCCCAGAATGGCCTCAAACCATGATTCTTCTGTCTCTGCCTTCTGAGTTGCTGGGACTACAGGCATGCTTCACCATTCCAGCTCCTGTTTAGTTTTGTGAAGGGTATGTGTGTCTCCCCTTTAGTCATTACTTTTAAAGTATAGCAGATAGCAAGAAGGGATTATGATGGGCAGAATAATGCACTCCCTTAAGGACTTTTGACTGTGTTAAGCTATTTGGCAAAGCAGAACTAAAGTTACCAATGGAATTAACCTTGAAATTGGGAGATTGTCTTGAATTGTTGAGTAAGCTCAAGGTAATCATCAGGACCTTAGAAGTGGAAGAAGAGAATCAGAGGAAGAAAAGCAGTGATGTAAGCAGAGTTAGAATATTGCCATGTGGCTAAGTTTAAAAATGGAGAAAGAGGCCATGAGCCAAGGAGTGTGGGTAATCTCCAAAAGCTGGCTAAACAAGGAAACAGATCATTCTTTAAAGCCTCCAGAAAGGACTGCTCCTATATGACCCCAACCTTAGACCTGTGACCTATAGAACTAGCAAATAAAAAAGGTATGTTCTTCTAAGAGAGTAAGTTTGTGTTCATTTATTAGAACAACAAATAGAAAATTTCATAAGGGCCAGTAATACAGCTGGGTAACAAGGAAGTTAGTCTAAGATGAAAAGACTTTGTCAACATCTGGAAAAGTAGATAATTTACATATGGGCATAAATGTTGATTCTCCTTCCTTCCTCTCCCTCTCTCCCTCCTTCCCTCCTTTCCTTTTTTCTTCCTTTTCCTTTCTCTCCATTTTTTTTTTTTTTTTTGGTGATAGCAGTTCTTGAATGCATGTCCTCATGCTTGCTCAGCATGTTTGCTTGACCAGAGCTTTACCACTTGAGCCATGGTTCCAGCTTTGATTTTTCCTGGTAATTTAAGAGATGAAGTCTCTCAGATTTTTCTTCCCTAGCTGGCTTTAGATCTCAGCCTCCTGAATGGCTGGGAGTATATGAATGAGTGCCTAGTGACTGGCGATTTTTTTAAGAAAACTGCTCTTGAGATTCCAATTCCATGTAATTGAGACATTTATTCAGACCTTGGATGCATTGAATCCTGACATTTTAGGATAGGAGAGAGTGTTTCCAAACATCCCATCTCATTTCCCTTGGTTTACAGAGGAGATGACTGGAGAGGCAGGTCAAACAATATGATCAGAGTCACATAGAAACTGGGATAGCTTTCTTGACTATTTTCTCAGGGTCCCCTACTCAAACCCTGTAGCTTCATTCTGGTTGGTCCCTTATGGAACTTGTCTTCCAGTCCTGCCTTCCCGATGGGATTGGCTCTCCTCCTACAAACAGTCACTAACACACTCCTGCTGTCTTCTGATACCACAGACAGGGCGTAAAACCCAGGCAGACCTCTTAATGATTCAGCACTTAGGTCAGCAAGACCCCTCTTCAGGAAGCCTCAAAAGAGCTGTTTAGAGAGCTAACAATTTTAAATACCCACTACATGAAACCTAGGTGATGTATAATATTATGTTTAGCTAGGTGCATCAACCTGGGGTTAAAACCTTGCACCTGATACCAGCTGTGTGATTCTAGCCAGTGTGTTAACCTTTCTTTGCCTTTTTCTTAACCTGTAAAATGGGACTTAAAATAAAAACACCTTCCTTATAGGGCTACTTTGAGTATCAAGATGCTGTTCTAAATGAGATTCTTAGAATGGTGTTTGTTGGAACTGCATGGGTTAACTCTATTATAATGTGATGCACATATATTTTCTCTGTCACAGTTTATAAACCCCATACATTAGATATTAAAATTCTCACCTCACAGTGAAAGAACTGAATCCCAAGCCTAGGCTCATAATCCTTACTCTAAGCTACTTAGATGCTAAGATATAATTGAAAAAAATGTTGAAAACTTAAGGGAAAGGAAGAAAATACATTTCTGAAATACCTAGTTACAAAGGGATTACTTTTTCAAAAAGTGAAAAGGCTTGAACCTAGGGGCCCTGTACTTGCATGGCTTAGTCGTTCATGATTTGTGCTCTACTACTTGAACTACATCCCTAGGATAGGTTTTTGCTGGATAATTGAGATGGGGTCTTGTGGACTTTTCTGTCTGGTCTGGTTTTAAACTTGGAGGACTTGCATCTCCCCTTTTGGCCCAATCTTTTTATGTATCTAAAGATGGAAATGAAAGACTGAACCTTACCTTATTTCCCCAGGTCAGGCAAAACCAGATACCCATGAACACGCTTGACCATATGCCTGGCCGCAAGCAGGTCACTCCAACCTAGGCCTGGCCGAAATTCCATGTCACCCCAGGCTGGACATTCTATTCTGGACCTAACAGAAAGTATCCCCACCCATAGGCCCTGGGTAACTAAAGCCTGATTCTTATTCCTTTGTTTCCTTGTTAAGACCCATATAAGCCTGACCCCAAATCTACCTCCTCACACAACCTCCCATCCCATGGGAAGGTTACTGCCCCTCACTGTCCTGGCCTGTAGAAGATTGGGTCTGGCTTGTTTCTTTCCTTTCTCCTCCATTTTTCTAACATGAGCCACAGTACTCAGCAACAGGGAAACAAATTTTAATCCACAAGAGGTGTGTTAAGTAAAAAAGAAAATTCAGTTCCATAGTTGTGACTTCAGATTGTCAAAGAAGACCTCAAATCATGAAGGATAGGACCAGGATTTAGCTTTTGAGGCCAACGTTATTTTAGTTCTCCTGTTGAATTCCCAACCTACTATCTCACTAACTTTGAGGCCTTGAAAAATCTATTACTTCCTGCATCTTAACTGCAAAACAATACACAGTGCTATTGAAAAAGACTGAGATAAAGGTCATATGATCACAATTTACATAAAGTAGTTGGAAGAATGCAGCACAGAGTAAGACTTGATAAAAAGACAGTTTCTCTATTATTAGAGTGGTTAAGTAGAGGGAGTGCCTGTATGAAAAGCTTATGCAAGGAGTTGAACTTCAAAAGATTGATGCCAAGAACAAGAAGATAGGAGATAGGGTATGGATATCTTTAAAAAGTATATAATGAAATGATTGTAGCTATTTTTTTTGCAGTTGATCATTTTTTTGTCTGAGAAGTTTGATTAGAAAAATTCAAGACTTTATCAATAACTTCTCATTTCCCATCTACTATTTAATTTCTATTATAAGATGTGTAAGTTTCATATATAATCAGATTATTAATAGCTAATTCTACAAAGAGAATGGTTAGTCTTAGAATGTATTTTTGCTTGGTCAAGTCCTGGTTTTTGAAAAAAGATACAAGAACTTTAACTAAAATACTTTATAAATATTTCAAATACTTTTGGGGCAGAGAAAGTGATTACCCGTTTCTTTCCCTAGGTTCCATCTGTTGATTTAGCACAAAACTTCTCTTGACAATTGCTAAGATATTTACCATAGTGTTCTCTCTCTCTCTTTCTAAAAATGGACACAACTTCAACTATTTTGAAGTGGAAGGAACCCATAGAAGGCCTGCCAAGGTCTGAAGGACTAGAGCTTTTAGAGATAAACTTGCTGACATGCAGCCTTTGATTACATAATTTCAAATCAAAATTAGAAAACTATTTTAATTGCTTTACCTCCCTTTCACACATTAACTTTTCTTTTTACCAGAGTGAAGATGGCTACTATCTTTCAGAATGTATTATAGCATATAGTGAAACATTGTTCGAAAATCTGAAGGAAGGCAGCATATAACCTTACACAAATAAAAATATTGATGTAGTTAAAAAAAAGAGGGATTTCCAGAAAGATCGCCTGAAAGAAGTACCTTAATTAAAACATTAAAAAAATCACATATGGGGCTGGGAAGGTGGCTCAGTGGTAGAGCGCTTGCCTTGCATGCCTGAGGGCCCTGGGTTCAATTCCTCAGCACCACATAAGCACAAAGAAAAAAGCCAGAAGTGGCGCTGTGGCTCAAGTGGTAGAGCGCTAGCCTTGAGCTGAAAAGCTGAGGGACAGTGCCCAGGCCCAGAGTTCAGGCCCCACGACCGGACCCAAAAAAAAATCACATATGAAAATAGAACCAATGGAACCTGTTGCAATTGTTATGAGGACAGGTGAATTCTGTTGAGGGAAAGCAGTAAGAGAGGGCGACTTGATCCAGGGGACTTTGTTTGGAGTGTCTTGACAGTAAAAAATGAGAAAAAAAAATAGGGAAATGCAAGACAAAGCAATGCCAATTTTTAAACTATAAAAGACAAGAATAAAAGAGCTACAGTATTTCTACCATCCTGCTTGGTCCTGGGGGATCTTCATTAGCAAGTGCCATTCCTTCTTGGTAATATTCATTGAATTGCATCTATTTGAACTTACTTTTAGTCATTTTGCTGTAACTGACTTACTTTTCAATTCCTCTTGTATCAGTCTTATCATGGTTTCTTTTTTTTAAACCATCTTAATTTAGTATTTTATTTATTTTCTTTTTTATTGTGAAAATACTGTACAGAGGGGTTACAATTACATGAGCAAGATAATAATTTAGTATTTTAGTATTTTCAATCA